GAAATCTTTTCCCCGAATCCCGGAAAATCTTTTTGAGAAGCAAAAAAAAATTTAATAAACTGCAAATTGGACAGTGGATAAACTGAAATTTTTGAAGATTTTCTTTTTGCACCTGTAGGTTCAAAGTTTGTGCTCAAAAAACATAGAAAAGTTAGTAAGTTATTTAAAAAATCATGGAACTCTAGATGAACGTTTGAGATTAACGAATGAAGCCAGAAACCTTTTAAGAAAATGCGTATGTCGTGCTTCTGGGTGAGCACATCGGCTGGCATTGGTGACGGCGCCGAATTACTTTCTACGTCTCGAACGAAGTCGCCAAACTCATAGCCAATTACGGATTCTCGAGCACTTAATTCGAGAGCTCCATTGGGATCAATTCTCGCTATATATTCCTAAAATTTCTATTCTAAAGCTCCGCAGATTACGAATACTGAAATCTTCTCAAGTAGTGGTAACTGCAAGAAGAATGTCTATTGAAAAAACTTGTGTTAAGCTTGTTCATAAAAGTATCACACAGCTTGTTTTTTGGCATGCTATGAACTATCCATGTGTAAAATTTATCGTAAATAAGAGTACTTGCCCTTTTTGGGGAAAACTGCTTAAGACCTGGAATATGTAGGAGTTTACCAGATTTCAGGAGTTCAGAGTTCACCTGACATCAGTATAACCAAAGACTGAAGATCTCACTGTAACCAGGAACACTGCCCGTTTCATTCCCTTCCCTTCTATTCCTCTCCCTCTTGGTCCGGCTCCGCCTCTTCTATCTCTCAAAAACTGTAAGCTTTTAAAAAAGAATATATCAAAAAACTGCAAAAATGTGACCAATAAAAAACAAAGCTCATGCATTTCACTGGTCATAGTATTTCTCAGTGATATTTTAGATTTCAGGAATTAAAAAACTCTGAGAAAAATTTTACATCGAACAGTCTGAAAAGCTCCGAATCGAAATCTTCCCAAGTAGTGCTAGCTGCAGGAAGTGTGTTGAATCCAATGGAAATTTCACCGGCATGCGAACGTGGCCTTAACAGACCACTGAAATCGACGCTCACTGTTACCTTCACATAACTGCTGCCACACATTTCTGAAACTTCGATAACTATTATTGCAGAAGCAAAAATGTGACTCTCTACTGTCTTCTGACAGTTGTAGGAAAGTGGCTGTTTCGCTTACCAGAAAACTGACTCCAGTAACTTGTTCAAATTCCAAGTCTCCAGAACTTGGACGTGAGTAAACGCAACAGCAAGGAAACAGTAACACTAGAACAGTCCGTAATGGGATATCATGTTAGTGATGCTACTGGAATGTCGGGTGCAACTACACCAGGTTCTCTGATCTTGAGCTGCGTACTTTCCGTCAGTAACAACCATCTATTCGATGAAACAGTAATCTCTTTGGAAAATGAAACATTTGTCAGGAGAGCCAGCAGAGTGACCATCAGCCGACGCAACACGGGTCAAAGCAGTTGCAAAAAGTGCTAGCTTCCCAGCCAACAAAAAAAAACTATGAAGTACAGGTGAACAAAGTATGCTTTTCAAAATGAAAGCAGTGGTATCCTGGAAAGTAGTAATATGAAAAGACGAACTTGAGGTGAACGAACGCTCGCTTGACGGTGGCACTTCATAGACTGGATCCTCATCGGGCAATGCTTGCAGCGATTGCTGCGAGCTTGTTCGACTTTCGGCTCGCATTCGCCTTTCAAGCATCGTATAATTCTGCTTCAGAATCTTGTTTTCGTTCTGCAAAAATTCCAACAAATTTGTGACAGCAAATTATCATGCACTGGTTGATGGAAACCCGTGAACTTGCCGTGAACGGCATGAATATCAGTTTCAAGGATTCAAAATTAAGGAGATATAAATTGAGCTCATGATTCATTCAGTGCTAATGTAATGACAAAATTGCTCTAAAATGATTCCATGCTGTTTCCCGGCCTTGGTTTTCAATGCTCAGTAGTCCAGAGAAAAAGACTTTGGCCTTTTTAGTGTCTTTCCAGTAATTGATCGGTGGATAAAGTTCCTAGCGGCGTAGTGTTAGAGTACTTAGTGCTACCTATTTTCTGATCCATAGCCTCAAAAAACACATTTCATTTATCACTCTCAACTTTTTCTTTTCCTCTCCCTTCTTTTATTAGTTAGCACTTTTCATCTTTTAATCTCATTTTTTTGTTCATTTTTTGATTTTTTTGCATATTCTATATATATCATCGTTAACATCTTTATTTCCTACACAGATTGAACTATCTTCTTTGCCGGAAGAAACATATAAGGTCCAACATCCCAAACAGAGTGATCATTAACAGGCAGTTATAACTGGGGGTAGTAATCCAGTTTGCTGTGTGGCTTATGGCTTAGTAATTAAATTAGTATGGTTCAGCACCTTCAGCCTATTGATCGTTTCCTTGAGGATATCTACTTCACGTGCTTTATCTAGTGCATCCAACCGAACATCTGTCAGCGCAGAATCTTTATCTTCCAGCTGCTTTTTCAGTTCGACCACCTGTGGTACAGTTTCCAATTCGTCCAACCTGAAAAGATAAATTTTTGTCTTAATTACTTAAAATGTCAGAAACATTATAAGGAAGGCCAAGAATTTTGAAAGCGGTAATATTTACTTTTTGCTTATTCCTACAAGCTCTAGAACTGTCAGCTACAGTACGCATGCCTACAAATTTCTTGCCCTCTTTTCAAAGCAAGTAGAGGAGTTGAAAGACGGAGGAAGAGGCGCGG